TTGTCATTTTTGCTGAAAATTTACTTTTAGCTGGTCTCTGAAATTACCCGTACCCCATACACATCTATTGAAAATGAGTTTGAAAATCATGCCACTGATCTCTTAAATAGCTTATTACTACTTTGAGTACAAGTGAATGAAATGAACTACTGAGGTCAATGGTGATACTCAGTAAAAAGCTTTTGCCTCTTTCCAACCCTTCTGCTCTAAATACGCATCCATCTTTTGCTCTTTGGTATGTGTAAGATCAGAGAGGACCTAGAAAACAATGAGAGATGATGGTAAGAAGAAACATAGAGAAAAGTAGGCCTTATGCAAAGACAAAATGTCAAATGCCTAATTCTTCTGAAAATTTTGAAGGAGGCAAAAAATAAATGTCTGGTCAGGAGTTACAGGCCAAGTTCCACAAATGTTTATTCTGTTGTTTATGTTTTTTGTTGTCATTCTGGAATTTAAAATAACTCTGAAAAAGCTATTGGATCAAAAAATAAATAAATAAAAAAGGAGAACTGACAACTACTAGAAGGTCAAAACTGATGATAAGTACTATTGTTAGCAAGCCCACTTGCTCAACTGTAGACCCCCAGCTAAAACCAGAAATAGACAAGACTGCTTAACTCATGCTCTAACTAAAACCCATCATGCCTGTTTCTTAATGCATCTTCTTGAGGCACTGATGATGTTTTACAATGACCTGGAACATCCCAACAGCCAGACCAGAAAAACCCTGATAGCAATGGAATGCCTAGAAAACCACACCCACATGTCCCCTTCCCTGCCCGAGATCATGGGCTGAACACATACCAAGCCCCACCCATAATCACGTTATGCCTGTTTGCCTGTTATCTTGTAAGCACCTCCCTGCCCCAACTTTTCTATAAAATTCTAGGTGTCCATCTTGTGGGTGGAGAGGTCAGTTTTTAAGGCTTGAGCCTGCCACCTCCCCCCACGGTTGGCACCCAAAACAAATTTCTCCCTTTCTCTTTTCTGAACCCTCATTTCTTGAGTTATTGGCTTCTTTTGTGACAAGTTTATCCAAGTTTGTTCTGCAACATTGTTGGCAAATCCAGCCAGAAGCTATGCTTTTGATTTGTCTAGCCCTCTTGGGATTCCCTGGGATGGAGCAGTTGGCCACAGCAGCACACTAAGGCTCAACATTTGTTTCCTGAGTTAGTGGCTGTGATAGATCTCTTGGTAACACTACAACCACCTGGGTTTTTACCCCAATTTCTGACCTAATTACTTTTGTTTATAATGAAACTCCACCTAACACTATGGAGTTCAGTTTTACTAATTGTGAATTCTAGATGTAACTTTTGATAAAATTTAGTGTTTACAAAACTATTTTTTATTTTATTTTTTATTTTTTTAAAGAATACCATGAGAGTTTTATTTTTTTTTAAGATTTTTTTAATTTATTTATTTGACAGAGAGAGAGAGACACAGTGAGAGAGGGAACACAAGCAGGGGGACCAGGAGAGGGAGAAGCAGGCCTCCCACTGAGCAGGGAGCCTGATGTGGGGGCTCTATCCCAGGACCCTGAGATCATGACCCAAGCCAAGGCAGATGCTTAATGACTGAGCCACCCAGGCGCCCCTACAAAACTATTTTTTAAATATTTTACTTATTTATTTGAGAGAGAGAGAGAGCATGTGCTGGGGGAGGAGCAGAAGAAGAGGGAGAAGCATACTCACCACTGAGCTTGGAGCCCCACTTGGGAGACCATGACCTGAGCTGAAGTCAGCCATTTAACCAACTGAGCCACTCAGGTGCCCTTAAAAACTTTTTTAATGCTACTTATCAATTCTTCCCTCTTTTAAAGCAGCAAGTAGAAAATAAGAACGCACATAACTAAACCAGAATTATGGGAAATGGCAGTTGTAATTAATACTCCAGTGAGCTAAGGATAAAAGTAAAAATGTTCTAATTTATCTAGGTAGGAAACAAATGAAATTTTCCCTTAGTGTGTCTTCGAATATAGTGGCAAAGGGTAATGGCTCAAGAATTACCAGTGTGACCTTGGATAAGTTATTTACCTTCCCCTAACTTCAGTTTCTTCATCTGTAAAATAAAGATAATGATACTACCAATCTTATAGGGTTGTTGGGAGAATTAAATAAAACAGTGTACATAAAACAATTAGCCCTGTGCCTGGTAATAGTCATTATTCAATACACTTGTTACATCATTTAGGCAGAAATTTCCCAGATTTATAGTATAGCTTTTGGAAATACTAAAATATTTACTCTTATAATTATTGTGCTGTGCTTCCAAAATAAGCATCCCTCTGTATTTGATCTCTAGTTATCTGTACTCACCCTTTGCAAACTCAGAAAACAAATATTTGGATAACTAGTTTCACCTGAAATTAAATATTCTATTACCTTGGCTAATATATGTCCCCTAATTGGCATGGAGATGTTTATGTTGTCAGAGGGAGGGTATTTCTTGGTGATTCATAAGTGTTTCCACAGTTGTCAGATTTGAAGAGTTGGAATAAAGAGAATTGCTTAGTTGGAGGCATGCTTAAAAATGGTATCTTTGCAGATTTATAGGAATACAGTAAAGTGGCAGGATACAAAATCAATGCACAGAAATCAGTTGTATTTCTATACACCAACAACGAGACAGAAGAAAGAGAAATTAAGGAGTCGATCCCATTTACAATTGCACCCAAAACCATAAGATACCTAGGAAAAAATCTAACCAAAGAGGAAAAGGATCTGTACTCAGAAAACTATAGAATACGCATGAAAGAAGTTGAGGAAAACACAAAGAAATGGAAAAACGTTCCATGCTCATGGATTGGAAGAACAAATATTTTTGTTGTTGTTGTTGTTTTGTTGTTGTTTTTTAAGATTTTATTTATTTATTTGAGAAAGAGACAGAGACAGAGAGAGAAAGAGAGAGAGAGCACAAGCAGGGAGGAGAAGGAGAAGCAGGCTCCCCACAGAGCAAGGAGCCCAATGTGGGACTTGATCCCAGGACCCTGGGATCATGACCCGAGCCAAAGGCAGATGCCCAACTGACTGAGCCACCCAGGCACCTGGAACAAATATTGTTAAAATGTGTATGCTACCTAGAGCAATCTACACTTTCAATACAATCCCTATCAAAATACCATCAACATTTTTCACAGAGCTGGAACAATCCTAAAATTTGTATGGAACCAGAAAAGACCCTGAATAGCCAGAGGAATGTTGAAAAAGAAAACCAAAGCTGGTGGCATCACAATTCCAGACTTCAAGCTCTATTACAAAGCTGTCATCATCAAGACAGTATGGTACTGGCACAGAAACAGACACATAGATCAATGGAACAGAATAGAGAACCCAGAAATGGACCTTCAACTCTATGGTCAACTAATCTTCAACAAAACAGGAAAGAATATCCAATGGAAAAAAGTCTCTTCAACAAATGGTGTTGGGAAAATTCGACAGCCACATATAGAAAGATGAAACTGGACCATTTCCTTACAGCATATACAAAAATAGACTCAGAATGGATGAAAGACCTCAGTGTGAGACAGGAATCCATCAAAATCTTTGAGGAGGACACAGGCAGCAACCTCTTTGACCTCGGCCACAGCAACTTCTTCCTAGACACATATACTCATCAAATATTTATTGAAGATAGCCTAAGAGCCAGGCATTTTCCTAGCACTGTGTCAGGAGCAAGAATTCTTGTTCCTTCACAGATCCTCCTAACTGGACTAGGAATCAAATTGACATGAGACAGATTAATAGGAGAAAATAAAATTTAATAGGTGTTCATACAGGGAAATTCCAAAGACAGTGGGAAAAATGAGGTATATATGTCATTCTGAACAAAGGAGATGGGGGTAGGACTCTGAAATTTCAGAGAAAAGGAATGCATTTCACAAGGTGATAAGAAGGGCAGATGTTTGCTAATTAGATGTTGACCCTACCATAACAAATGAGTCACTCAGATAAAATTTATCTCTGTTGTTAACTCTTATTCTGGGAATGACCCCCAATTTAGATTCTTCTGTGTGGTTAAGGGAGGGACAAAAGTTTCTTTTGAGCCCACAGAGTCTCAAGTGCCTTCAGCTCAAAAAATCCACATTTAAAGTGGCACATTTGGTGGGGAGGGAATGTTCCCTGAAATCCTTCAAATGAGGTGGTGAACAAGTCTAGTGAAGTCTAAGTCTTCTTGAAGTTGATAGTGCATGAATATGGATATGACTATGAGTAAGAAGAAGGACCAGCGTACATTCCCTCCCTGGCTTCTTTCCAGGTAGTTACAAACACAGGGCTTCCATAAGGGGACTTGTGGGGTTCAAACCCAGGCTCATTGTTGGTGTTGGGAGACAGGGTATTACTGTAGAGTTCAGGAAACGGTATGCACCCAGTCACTGTGAACACACTGAATAAATACCATGCTTTACAAATAATTATCTACAAAATTTAAAACATATGCAAATGATGTGATTAAGAAAATACAAATTCAAGGGCACCTGGCTGGCTCAGTTGTTAGAGCATGCAGCTCTTGATCTCTGGGTTTTAAGTTTAAGTCCCACATTGGGTATAGAAATTACTTAAAAAATAAAACCTTTAAAAAAACCAAAACAACCCAAAACAACAACAACCAAAATATAAATTCATTTAGAAGTGTTAATTAATGAATGTTGGAGTCTATAGACTTTATCAGTCAACAACTACTAAAATGTAACTATTATGTGGGATCTATACAATTTTTAGAAATTAAAGGTTGTCTTCATTATTAAAAATTTGGAGCAACTCTGTCTACGTAGTGGAACCTGCGGGCTGGGAAACTTCAGGATGGTTCATGCTAAGAGCTGGACCCTGAAGAAGCACTTTGAAGGCAGCCCTACTCATAGTAACTTTGAGTTAAAGACAGTTGAACTCCCATCCTTAAAAAATGGAGAGGTCCTGCTGGAAGCTTTGTTCCTTACCGTGGATCCTTATATGAAAGTGGCGGCCAAAAGATTGAAGGAGGGTGATATGATGATGGGGCAGCAAGTGGCCAGCTCCTAGAATTTTTGGCTCCAATAAATGGACCACTGAGCAACAGCAAAGATTCTATGAAATTTGTAGCAATCTGGTAAAAACTCGACGCAGAGCTGTGGGCTGGTGGAAACGCCTCTTTACACTAAAGGAAGAAAAGCCTAAAATGTACTTCATGACCATGATCGTTTCTCTTGCTGCAGTTGCTTGGGTGGGACAGCAAGTCCACAACCTGCTGCTCACCTACCTGATAGTGACTTTCTTACTGTTGCTTCCTGGATTAAACCAGCATGGAATCATTTTGAAGTACATTGGAATGGCCAGAAGGGAGATAAATAAGCTTCTCAAACAAAAAGAAAAGAAAAATGAATAATGCATCTGCTTTATTCAGTGTAATGAATGGCATATACATTGTCCTTGGGAACAGTTTCTGTTATGCTGTCTGGATACTAAAATGTTACAGAAGTAGCTCTTTGCTGTCCCTCTTTTGCCCTTAGGGCGTAGAAATTCAGACTTGCCGAGTAAGGCTTTATGCATAGTGTCTTCATGTGACGTGTAGCTGGATGCATTCTCATCAGTTGGCCTTATATGGACAACTCATTCATGAGTACGACTTGTTTTGATTTTTCTCCACCCAGGTTAATTGCATTCTTACTTTTAGGCAACTTCCTTTAAAATAACATAGTGGTGAACTTCACCTTTTAGTACAGTTAACTGTGACTTTGGATAACTAATTGTTCCAGTTGATCTTTGCTTTAGCTAGATACAAGTTAGTGGTCTGTGGCTACAGGAAGCTGGTTCTACTGTCTGCTTCCACAGTCTGCTT